AGAGGTTGCAGTGAGCCAAGATGGTGCCATTACACTCCAGCCTGGACGACAGAGTGAGACTCCGTCTCAAAAAAAAAAAAAAAAAAAAAAAAAAAAAAAAAAAAAAAAAAGTTCAAAGCATACATGATTAAAATAACCTAATAGAGTAGATCTCTAGCCTCCAATAATATATAAGTGTGAGTACATCTTGCACATAATACAGTTTTTTTTAAAAAAAAGATAATTTAGGATGAGAAGTCAGTAATAAAACAAGGCCACCCAGGAATAAATACCTATAGGCAGGATTTTCTATTACTTTCTTTGAATTTAAATGCCATACCTAAGATCTATATTTCAGGGAAATTTTCTGTACTAATATAAAGGTTTAAATCTACATATGACTACCACCAGGAACCATGAGTTAATCCCCAAATTATTTTGAGACAAAATCTTCTGAAAAAGCAAAGCCAAGACACAAGTATTTTTTGATTTTACTAGTTTAATCATGGCCTCTGATGGAACCTCCAGTAAAATCCCAACTCCCTCTGAGTGAAAGCCTTACAATGGCCAAAAGAGTCCTGCACAATCTGGACTTGATTACCTCTCCGGCCTCATTTCCAGCTATGTTTTCCTGATCTCACTATGTACCAGCTACACTGCCCTTTTTTGTTTCGGTTCCTCAGAATAGGCCCATTCCTGCCTTGGGGCTTTGCACGTGTCATTTTCTGTCTGAATAAATCTTCCCCTCGATGTTCTCAGGGCACACTCCTTCACCATTGCTAAGACTTTCCTTGTCACCATCTCTGTAAGGTCTTCCCTGACACCCTTAAAAATGAATTCCTGGCTGGGCGTGGTGGCTCATGCCTGTAAATACCAGCACTTTGATATGCCGAAGTGGGTGGATCACTTGAGGTCAGGGGTTCAAGACCAGCCTGGCCAACATGATGAAACCCCATCTCTATTAAAAACACAAAAATCAGCCGGGTGTGGTGGCACACACCTGTAGTCCCAGCTACTCAGGAGGCTGAGGCAGAAGAATCGCTTGAACCTGGGAGGCAGAGGTGGCAGTGAGCTGAGATTGCATCACTACACTCCAGGCTGGATGACAGAGCAAGACTCTGTCTGGGAAAAAAAAAAGCAATTCCCTCCCTTAACAGCCACAATCCTATTCCTGCTTCATCATTTTTTTTTGTATAGCACATAAAGTCATCTACCATCCTGTATCTTTTTACAATCTGTCTTCTCTAACTGGAAAATAAGCTCTACCAAGGCAGGTTCTTGTCTGTTTTGCTGCTGCACCCAGACACTGTCTGGCGCATGGAAGCCTACAAATACTTATTTAATAAATGACTGAATTAATGTTTTCTTTTAGATTCCCCTGCTTGAAAGATTAGACAGTAACTCTATACAAAAAAAAAACCAAAAAAAAAAAAACCCAGAATGTTTCCCCCTTCTGTATGTCAAATTAACAAAGTTTATTCTACTAACAAGTTTCAGGTTTATGCACTTACTATTAATGAGTCAGAAGATGAAGACTTCTAAAAAGTTGATACAAACATATTTTCCCTTAACAAATGTGTAACATTGGCCAGCCACAGTGGCTCATGCCTATCATCCCAGAACTTTGGGAGGCCAAGATGGGTGGATCACCTGAGGTCAGGAGTTTGAGACCAGTCTGGTCAATATGGTAAAACCCTGTCTCTACCAAAAAATACAAAAATTAGCCTGGTGTGGTGGTGGGCACCTATAGTGCCAGCTACTAGTCAAGAAGCTGAGGCAGGAGAATCGCTTGAACCTGGGAGGCAGAGGTTGCGGTGAGCCACGATGGCGCCACCGCATTCCAGCCTGGGTGACAGAGTGAGACTCCACTTCAAAAAAAAAAAAAAAAGTGTAATACCTGTTTTTAATGATAACAATGCCATTGAGGGCACAAAGAGACAAGAACTCTCATGTACTGCTGGTGCGGTGTAAATCAGCATAACTATTATGGGAATTACTTAACAATATGTAGCATAAAGACTGAGTACTTACTATATATACTATTTAAGTTTGTAAAAAGTGAGCACATTTTACTTTTACAGTCAGAAAAAAGTTTTTTAGAAGAAAGAATCATGCAAAAAAATATATAATTTCAATAAAAAAGTTCTTCAGCACCTTGGAAGGCCAAGGCAGGCAGATCACTTGAGGTTGGGAGTTTGAGACCAGCCTGGCCAACATGGTGAAAACCCGTCTCTACCAAAAAATACAAAAATTAGCAAAGCATGGTGGCATGCGAAGAGATTGCAGTGAGCTGAGATCATGCCACTGCACTCCAGCCTGGGTGACAGAGTGATACTCTGTCTCAAAAAAAAAAGAAAGTTCTTTATACTGTATTTTGACTCCAACAAAAGCAATAAAGTCTTCTGTTACATATCCAGATGAAATATCTCAAGAGGGTAACTACAGTTAGAAAAATAATGGTTTTTTACTTAGGAACTAAAAAAAGTTTTATAGCAGTTTCCAGAGTGGAAGGGAAAACAAACTCTACGGTGTTAGTGTTCCACATAAGAGCACAATTTTCTTCTAAAGAAAGATTTAAGATACGAACATTTCTCCGTAGCATAAAATGTGGGACTGATGTGACAAAGAGCAGGTAAACAATTCCATTCAAACTTGGTGACTACGATGACATAGGGAAGATAATTCACTAAACGAGATTGCCTACTGGGTGACATGACAGATACTTCTGAGTATACATATAGTGCTTATACTTTTGAAGGTATACGTCATCTATGTTAAAGTTGGCATAAGCCTAGATCCAAAGGTTACTTTTCAACCACAATACTTATTACCTGAACCAAACCCTAAGACAAGAACAGATCTGAGATAAAATACACAGGCATCTGATATACTAGTTCTATTTATTACTCTGATTTCTATTTGAAGGTCTTATTGGTTGTCTTAAAAAAATTCAGCACATAAATTCTCAAATTCTTAAAGATAGTTGATATATTCATGAGACAGGTGGCTGCCCAAACTAGTTGTTAAGAAAGGAAGTCCTACTCAAACGCTTGCAGCAGGCAGAGTGTGTTATTAGAGAAGAGTAACAGTTTTCATTTGTAACACTTCAGGATTCCAAGTGCTCAAAGCTCTGAATAGGAGCCAGGTTTAAAGGGTGAAAAAACACAGAGCATAAAAATTAAAAATATACTCAACCTCACAATAATGAATAAGGCACAGTGGATTAAAGACTCCAGAAAAAATTTATAAATGAAAATCATTGGTAATTGAAACATATGGTCCTTGAACAAAATTTAAATGTAATAATTCTAATCAAATATCAAGGTGAAGATATATTTTTTAAATGCTTCTTTTGGCTAAGAATGCTTCAAGAAACCCTTCTATAAATATCAACTATGTCTGGATCACATTGAACTTAGAAAGTAACATAAGAAGAACATGAACTGGATTGGAGATCACTAAATAGTCCCACACTCAGTAGGGAGAAAATATTCTAGAAGGCTGGGCATGGTGGCTCACGCCTGTAATCTCAGCACTTTGGGAGGCCCAGGTGGGCAGATCACCTGAGGTCAGGAGTTCAAGACCAGCCTGGCCAACATAGTGAAACCCCATCTCTACAAAAACACAAAAATTAGCCAGACATAATGGTGGGTGCCTGTAATCCCAGCTACTTGGGAGGCTGAGGCAGAAGAATCACTTGAACCTTGGAGGCGGAGGTTGTAGTGAGCTGAGATCGTGCCACTGCACTCCAGCCTGGGCGAAAGAGCAAGAATCCGTCTCAAGAAAAAAAAAAAGAAAGAAAAAAGGTGTTCTAGGAGTTAAAAAGTAGTAAAAGAAAGCTTATAAGGAGAATAAAAGGTGAGCAGTAACTGAAATTTATTTAAAAACACCTAATAACATGAGACAACAGAAATGCAAAATATTAAAATGCAAGCTGGCCAGGTGCTGTGGCTCACACCTGTAATCCCAACACTTCGGGAGGCCAAGGCAGGAGGATCACATGAGCTCAGGAGTTCAAGACCAGCCTAGGCAACACAGTGAGACCCTGTCGCTAAAAAATTAATTCAATTAAAATAAAATGTGAAGTTGCCAAATTTATCAGATTCCAAAAAGAATCCATAAGGAAAGAAAATTTCAGAGCCTCTCATTCTCTGATAAAAGAAGACCATTATTCCAAAGTATGGAAGGTTTTCCTCATCCCTCTCCCTCCCTCAAATAATGACTATAAATACCAAAGTGTTGGACCCAGTGGGAGAACTCAAATAATGAGATAGTTTAGGACAAAATCAAACCATTGAAACAAAAGAAGAGGAGAAGGAGGAAGAAGAAGATGATGATGAGGACAAAGACCAGAAAAGATATGTACAAAGTTGTTCACTGGTTGTCTGTAATGTAATGGGGGAAAAAAGGAAAACAATTTAAATATCCATCAAAGGGACTGTAGAAAACCTGTGAAATATTCATACTGTATAATAGAAACAAAACAGCTAAAATGGGAGACCTAGATCTGAATCTACCAACATGTACAGATTTTGGAAAACAAGAATGAAAACAAGACTGCTGCAGAACTTTTATATATATTTATTTTTATATATATATATATAAACACACACACATATGCACATATGTACTCACACATATATAATTGTCTAAAAATTAAGCACGTAAAGCAATACATTTTCATACATACACACATACATACACATCTACATTGCACTGGAATGATACACGCTAAATTCACGGTAACAGGTGGTCTCTGGTAGTGAAGGATGGAAACAGAACAGAAAGTATAAATAAATAAAACTTTAGCTGACAGTGTCACAGTCTCTTTTTGTTTGGCTTTTTTTTTTAAGCTTTTCAAATCTATGAATTCAGGAAAAATGGTAAATTAGAAAAGCTAAAGATTGCTTAATGACTTGTGATACAGAAAAAAAAGCTAAATAGCTCAAAGCAATATTTTAAATAGATACTAATGCAGCCTAAATCAAACCAAAAAGAGCCAATGAATTCAGTCCAGATCATCTCACTAATGAAAATCCTGTGTTGGTAAATATTTTTTCTATAGCTGATGGGAATTATACAGCACTGGCGTTCCTTAAGCAGCGAAACTAAAGGGACTGACTTTATATATGTCAATAAGAAAGTACATCTTTTCCTTTCTTTCTTTTTTTTGAGACGGGGTCTCCCTCTGTCACCCAGCTGGAGTACAGAGGCTCGATCTCTGCTCCCTGCAATCTCTGCCTCCTGGGTTCAAGCAATTCTCCTGCCTCAGCCTCCTGAGTAGCTGGGATTACAGGTGCGCACCACCACGCCCGGCTAATTTTTTTTGTTTTTAGTAGAGATGGTGTTTCAGCATGTTGGTGAGGCGGGTCTCAAACTCCTGACGTCTGTGATCTGCCCACCTCAGCCTCCCAAAGTGCTGGGATTACAGGCGTGAGTCACCGTGCCCAGCCAGAAAGCACATCTTAAATAAAAATAATGTTCATAGTAATCCAACGTATCTTCATTGAGACCATAAATCCTTATATTTTGCCTTAATTTTGTTTATTCCTCTAAGAACCAATCTCTCTTTTAATCATCTCAAATTTCAGTACCTGAAACTCAAAGACAGATTATAAAAACAACACTTGAGGCTTTTTTGCCTTCTTGAATTGACTTAAGCTTTTTTTCCTTCTTTCAAACATGTTTTTCCTCCTTCTTCCTTGACTTTTCCCATCTCCAACCTGTTGTTGTTTTTTTTTTCCCTTCCATTCTCTCACCAACAATTGCTTTCAACTGCTAGCAAGCCTCTGGCATATTTATATTTTTCACTTCTTTAAGGAAAAGATGCTCCCACTCCACAGCCCAAACGTCAAATAAAGGGGAAAAAATTTATGTAAAAAGTACTAACCATATTTTGATGCCTTTCCTTTCTGTATTATGGCTAGGAATAAAGCTCTAATTGCCAAACAAGAGAGCAAAATCAAACTTACCTGTACGTTTTATCATCTTTATAACATTTAAATTTATCCAGGGTCCTCTGTTTCACAAGTCACTTTGGTTAGGAATTATAAGGCCACTTAAAATAGGCCACTATAGTTGAGCACTATAGTCTAGTGGAAACCATAACCTCAAGATTCACAGTAGACAAACAACCTAGGCCAGGTGTGGCGGCTCATGCCTTTAATCCCAGCACTCCGGGAGGCCAAGGTGAGCACATCACTTGAGGTCAGGAGTTCCAAACCAGCCTGGCCAACATGGTGAAACCTTGTCTCTACTAAAAATACAAAAATTAGCCCGGCATGATGGGGCAAGCCTGTAATCCCAGCTACTTGGGAGGCGGAGGCCACAGTGAGCCAAGATCACGCCACCGCACTCCAGCCTGGGCGACAGAGTGAGACTCTGTCTCAAAAAAAAGAAAGAAAGAAAAAAAGAGACAGAGGAGCAACGTGTGCATTTCCACCCCCATCCTCCTTTAAAAGGATTTCCAAGGTCCTTTCCAGTTAAATGCTTTAAGCTATATAACCACTCCCTCATAAGCAGTATTCAATGTTTCACAGTCTTCGAAGTACTCTGACATTTATGATCTTATTTGGGATTTTCAACAGCTCTGTGAGGCACACAGAGCAAGCAAGTATTTTACAAATAAGGGAACAGAAGCTCAGAGTTCCAATTTGCTGTGGTCACATGGCTATTAATGGGCTTGAGTTCAGAACACAAAGTCTTTTAACTCCTAAACCAACACTTTGCAATTCCTTTGGGGTGACTCTTAGATCACGTATGGTCTTTTATTCAACATGTAGGAATGGGAAAAATACCTGAGAAAGATACTTACATTCCCTAGCTTTCAGTTCCAATTTCATTTTCAAGTGGCAACTCAGTATGAATGTATGTTCTTTTGGCAGGGCAAGGTGACTCATGCCTGTAATTTCAGCACTTTGGGAGGCCAAGGCGGGCACATCGCCTGAGCTCAGGAGTTGCAGACCACCCTGGGCAACATGGTGGAACCCTGTCTCTACTAAAAAATACAAAAAAAAAAAATTTGCCAGGTGTGGTGGTACATGCCTGTAGTCCCAGCTACTCGGAAGGCTGAGGCTGGAAAATCACTTCAGCCCAGGAGGCAGAGAGGTTACAGAGAGCCGAGATCATGCCACTGCACTCCAGCTTGGGCTACAGAGTGAGACATCGTCTTAAAAAAAAAAAAA